AGAATACTATACTATTTATATATATATATATATATTCTATATATATTAAATAACTACGTATTATACTTATAAACATTATATAATATTATATGAAAATCAAAATATCCCCGAAAGAAAACGGGTATCTACAACACGTTTACGTGATTTACCTGCCGTCGTTTTATCATGTCGAACCTGGATTGATTGATTATTTGACCGAAACAATAAGAAATCAATTTTAAAGAGGATTTTAATTTATAAACCCTAACTTCTATAGCAAAAGCGTGCAATGCATCATATGGAAATGTATATATTTTCATGAAATGATCCAATATTGATTTTTGAAGTTTTCAGCTATTTAAATATACTAAAAGTAATATGTTGCCATGGCAACAAGAGCCTGAAGTATCAAAATGAAGCATGTGGTGATTGATTCCTATTGATTATTTCCTATAGGGAGTTGCAAATCGAGTTTATCTTAGGAATCGTAGGCTAACCATGTTTCAATAACGATATCCGAGTTTGCAAGATCCGAGGGTATAACTTTCTCAGCTCATGTAACACATTTCTACATTCAGAGATTCATGTTTATTTAAGATTGCCCCCTTTTGAAATTAGGATTTATAAATTAAAATCCTCTTTAAAATTGATTTTTTATTGTTGCAGTTAAACAGTCGGTCAATCCAAGTCCCACGTGACAAAGTGACACCGGGTAAATCAACATGTCACATCATCCGTCTGTGATTGATGTAACCGTGATTAACAGTCGAGTGATCTATTTGTTGTAAAACGATAACGTTAGTGATCATTTTGTAACTTTTTAAACTTTAGTAGAGAAAACGAAAACTTATTCAAACTTCAATGACTATTTTTGTAGTTTACCCTTATTAATAATCTGTATCGATATACTCCACAAATATAAAATGATGATAATTTATAAATTATCATTGAATTTTTTAAAGTAATTTCAGATTTCATTAGAATTTTACTATTTTCACCTTTCGTTTCTTTTGAAATGATATTTATATAATCACTAAACAAAGAAATATTCAAATTTCCATTTTTTTCAAATATGAAAGTGACCTTAATCGTGAATTATTTCATGCAATGGATTCATTAAATCTAATTAAAGTCACTATCAGCTCACGATATAAATTAGATTTTGATAATTTTCTGGATCATAATTTCCCATGGATGGTTGTGAATAATATATATATATATATATATATTTCCCCGCAAAAAAAAAAAATCAGATTTAAAAATCTGTATTTGACAAACTATTGATGTATGGATATAAATTATTTTTTAGTAAAATAGGGTGAAGTTAATAAATGATCCACGGCTATAGAGTACTGCTTTGTTGAGTTCTCTTATTATTAAAAGTTACAAAATGGTCCTCCGACTATAAGGAATTACTTTGTTTAGTCCTCCAACTATTAAAAGTTACAAAATGATCACTTGGCTATTCATATGTTCCAAACTCATCCTTTTCCTTTAAAAAAATTGACAACAGTTTGAGTTGGATGTCAACCTACTGATTGAGATATTTTATTATCTCAGAATATCAAACGACTATCATATCTTAGTCAGTAGGTTAACGTCCAACTCAAACTGTTGTCAATTTTTTAATGGAAAAGGACGAGCTTGAAACATATGAATAGTTAGATGACCATTTTATAACTTTTAATAGTCGATGGACTCAAAAAAGTAACACTCTATACCATTTTGTAAAATTTAATATTAAGGGAACTTAACAAAATAGTATCTTATAGTCTAGAGATCATTTGTGTACTTTACCCCATAGTAAATTAGTTTGATCTTTTAGACATTACTCACCTAGAGATTGACCTTAAAAATGGTGAAATGAGAGTTTGATATCAAATAAGGGCTATGACATTCACATATAAAGTTAATTCTTCCAATTGTCCTTAAGATGAAGTTTAGACATATAACAAAAATACTTAAAAATTAAAAAATATTTTGAATTTTCAATAGTTTCTAATAAAATCGAATAAGACCTTGAACTTTAAAAGAGAAATTAATTTGGCCCTCGAACTCAATAAGAAATCAATTTAGCCCATCAATCACATCATCAGTCATTATGGAGTGTCACGTTAGCACTATTGACATTTATGTTAGCATCAACGGTCAATGACGAAAACTGATGGTCAAAAGGCTACATTTTTTTTAGTTTAAGGGTCACATTGAGTGTAAAAATAGTTCGAAGGCCATATTTTTTTTTTAATTTTAAGGGCCTCACATACCAGTAAGCCTAAAGTTTTCTTAGTCCTCAAACTCAATTTTCCCTTTAAGCACTTGAAAAAAAATTAAACATCGAAAATAGGTGTTCATGATTTAAAACATGCAAAATTTATTCATTTGATATCGATATTCTTCCAAAAATATTTGATGCTATAAGAACAATATTAATATTATTCATGTGATACTGATACTTCTATTTAAAGAGCTCTTTAAGATTATGAAGTAGTATCGAAACTCTGTTAAGAGTACCGATACTCATTTTTGAAAAATAACTTCGAGCTTAAATCATGTAACATCCAATACATTTACACAAAACCATACTAAACTTTTAACAACATTTACACAAAGTATAAAAATGTAACAATTTACAAAAGTGAAGTCCTAATTTAAAAATCCAATACATAAATAAATATTACAAGTTGATCACTAAAATCAAATTAGAAATTTAGGGAAAATTCTCAATTTTTAGGCCTTTTAATTCAGGAGAAAATTGAGTTGTTAAACATGAACCTTAAACCCCAAATCCCAATCAATAAACTTTAAACCACAAACCTCAAACATCAAGTACTAAATCTCAAATCCCAAATCATAAACCTTAACTCAGACTCTACATTTACAAAATGTGTACTCATTTAGCTTCGAAAATTCTTTTAATAGAAATAATAAGGAGTGCGACTTATTTTAATAAAGATAGTGAGTGGTCGCAGTTTCCTCTAATAGAAATCGTGTGGAGACTAAGGTGGTGTTTGGTTCGTTGAAATGTTTATGAGGGAATTGGAATCTGTGAAGGAATTGGAATCTGTCAGGAATTGGAATCTGAATATGAACCCTGTTTGATTGGCAGGAAATTGAATTGGAATCCAATTCCATATTCTGTTTGGTTCACAGACATGTCAGATGAATTTGATTTCAGTAATGTAAAATGACAGAATTGTCTTCTTGTGTTTTTGCCTAATTTTAGTTTGTGTTATAACTTACATGTAGCAATATATTATAAAAATTTAAAAAATATTAAATTTTCATTTTATTGATTGATTATTCATTTCAATAAATTATAAAAATCATGCTAACAAACATCATACGTTAAAATCATCCCAATCAAAATATGTTAATAAGTTACCAAAAGATAGAATAATATTTCGATACATTCCAATCGAAGTATGTCAATTAGTTACAAAAAAATATACCAAAAACTTACAAGTCAAGGAAGGATTAGCACCCTTGAACTGCCCTTTTGGTACTACGTAATTTCCAATTGTATTTAATTAAGAAGATTGTAACTTTAAATTAAAAGGTAAAAATAACGATCTCAATCACTTACCCCTGATAGATTCGGAAGTGTACCCTTAAAAGAGTCGAGAAGCATGTTAGAAAAAAAAAAGCTAATGAAGATAAATAAACTAAAGAAAAAAAAATAAAGGAAATAAAAATAAATGAAAAAAAGGAAAATAAGATAAAGAAAAGACATAAAAAATAAAACAAAGATAAAAATTAAATAAAATAAAGAACATAAAAAACAAAAGAAATAAAATAATGAAGAAAAATAAATAAAATAATCAAAATAAAGATAACGAGCAAAATAAAATAAAAATAAGAATAAAATAAAGAAAAATACTAATAATTGTATATACATAATAAATAAATAAATAAACAAGAGAAAAATACAAATGAAAATAAATATATAAATAAAACTAATATAAAAAATAAAATAAGAAAAGAAAAAAAAACAAATAAAATAAGAAAAATATAAAGTAAATATATGGAAAATAATAATGAGGGTAGTATGGTCAAATTTCACATTCCCTCCTTAAAAAGATTTTAATTTCCTTATGTTATGGATGGAATTTACTTTTGATGGAAAGTTGAAGTCATTTAGAATTCTAATTCCCTTTGAAAACTTGAACCAAACATGGGAAAGTGGTGGAATTGAATTTCAATTTCCCCTAATTCCAAGAGATTCCTGTGAACCAAACTCCACCTAATTTGCTTGTTTAGGAGGCTAATACTCTTTTAGGTAAATTACGTAATCTAACTATCACTTTAGTTTTGTTATGGTCATTCAATTATTTTTCTTTTCAAAAGCAACTCTAACTTTACATTTTAGTTTCAGTTTAGTCACTCGTCGTTAAAATTGAACGGTGATATTAGCATGTCACCTTAAAACCATATCATCATTGAAATAACAAATAAAAATGCCACATCAACAATTTCTTTAATTTTTAATGGTGGATGACCAAAATAAAACCAAAACAAAGTAATAGTTGAATAACTAAATACATAATTTATCTTTTTTTTCCAAGTTACTGACGTGGGCAATACTCATCTGAATATTATAATTTTTTTTTGAAAGATGGGCCTCGTTACTGAATACTATAATATACATATCCAAGCTGGATCGCTTTTTTTTTTATCTCTATTCTTTGCTCATTTGATTCCAAAGGTAAAGGGGAAAATACCAAACTTGGCATTTAATTTTGTAGACAAAGAGCATTACTTGTCTTCCAAGCAAATTAAAACAGAAAAAGTGTGTTAATTATGAAAACATTATGAGTAATTAAATAATGAATTATATTGAACTTATAAAAATAACAGACTTGTTTACCTTAACAAAGTACAAAGGTACTTGATCATTATATTAACCATAATTACAGAAGCATTGGTGCCACAAATTAAGAGTCAATTGAAGACTTGAAACCAAGCAAGTTCTGGAGCACTACACTAGCTTCATTATCCCTCTAAGCGTCACTTGACAAGATTCGATGAGGCGCAACCAGGAGCCCCACCAACGGGAGGTGAGACTTCTGATTCTTGAGATGGAGCAACCCGATTTCATCACTCAAGAGGTAGAAAGAATGGAATCAGCGTTGCGTGAAGTCGAAAACTGGGGAAATGCTTCGTCTCCGAGAGCCAGACCGTTAATTCAAAGAGTTTCATCCGTGCTGAGAGGCATCAAGCCGGATTTTCAGAAGTATTTTGAACCCAGGCTGGTCTCCATTGGTCCTTTGCATCATGGCAAGTCCAGGTTCAAGCGATCCGAGCAGGCCAAGCACAAACTCGCTGCTCTGTTCGTACAAGAGAATGGAATTACCGCAAGATCTCTGTTTGACAAGATTAAGGTCGAGATAAACGAGTTGAGGGAGTGTTATAATCCGGATGATATAAAAGAATTCGATGACGATAGGCTGGCTTGGATGTTTTTCATTGACGGCTCTGCAACATTGTTTACCATACACAATATTGTAAAACGTACGTTTGAGAACCTCAAAACTAAAGTAGATCGTTTGGTATTTGCGCAAGTTGATGTGTTCCTGCTGGAAAACCAACTTCCTTACCGAGTCCTGCAGATTTTGATCGAGTCATCCAAGGAACCTCAACAATGGAAAAACTCAATCACAAAATTCATAGCCGAAAGCCTAATGACTAACGTGGAAAGTGGGCGGCAGAGCCAACACGGAGGCATTCGAGAAGACGGGGAAGACGATTACGCCCACCTACTGGAGCGCTTGAGGGAAGAACACCTGACGGGGTCGATCGAGGAGAACAGCAAGACCGCCTTCGGCAGGATGTTCCTCTCCTGGGGAGACAACCAAAAACACCGGAAGACATATCGTAGCTTCAAGGAGCTCAAGGAATCTGGAATAAAAGTGCAGCCAAGCGAATCGAACAACTTGAAAAACATCTCATTCCACTGCAATTTACTGGGGAGGCTGAAGATGCCACGCCTTCTGGTGGATGACTCGATAGCTTTCAAGTTCATGAACTTGGTAGCCTTGGAGACGTGCCTGGATTACGAAAATGATTTCGCCATAACCTCTTATCTGTGCTTCTTGGATTCCCTCATCAACACGGCCGAAGATGTCAAGGAGCTTCGTGTCAAAGGTTTGATTCACAACTACCTGGGAAGCGATCAAGAAGTGGCTGATCTTTTCAACAAGATGAGCAGAGACTTGGTGCCTGATCAAGGGATTTACATTAAAGTTACTGAGAGCATCCATAAGTACTGCAACAATCCATTGACGCCTACTGTGGCTCAATTAATTTACACTCATTTTAGTAGCCCATGGACTGTGTTTGGCTTCTTTGGTGCCATATTTTATCTGAGCCTCTCCATTATTCAGGCTTATTTCTCTTCCCAAGGCGGATCAAGACATTAACCAGTGCTTTAAGTGCGTAATATGGTTTATCTTCTCATTATGGTAACTGCAGTTTTCTTATGATCTCAATAAGCGTTTTGTGCTTGAAATATTTTGCTGCTCTCATTTTTCATTTTATTTTGCCAGCATGGTGACTGGCCAATGCTGTGTTATTCGTGTGTTATGTATTCCAAGTTTTATGCGGATTTATTATACAAACTGCTTGTTGTATTTAATATTTTATAAATTAATATTTATTGTTAATATAGTATTTCAACCATGAATTATGTTATGAGCACGAACCAAGTGGTCTCCGTGGTAAAAGAATCGTTATCATTCCTTGAGGATTTGAGTTCGAATACATAGATATTAGGGGTGTGAGTGTTAAATATCAAAAGTTTAAGAAATATCTTTAAACATGTACTACCTTGTAGTTGTCCCAAATTAATAAAAAAAATCAATTATGTTATGATATATGATATTCGATAATATCATTATTTTGATTTGTTAATATTACGTCAATATCTTGATTGTTTGTTGAAATGCAAAATAAACGCTTATATTAATTTAAGATTCTTTTTATAAGTTTTTACATTAATTTGTAAAATGTAAAATTTTAAATATCATTTTAAAAAGGAATTATTGAATTCATATACTAATTTGTATAATAAACCTTTAATGCAAGGATGTACATAAGATTTTATATTAGAGAGCGAACTTTTAATATTTTAAAAGGGACGAATTTATAAAATTTTAGGTGACGAAAATATAATATGAATTGAAAATACAAATAAAATATCTAAAAATATACTAATTTAAAATTTTCAAAGTAATACCCATCCCTCCTTTCTATTCATCTCTTCTTTCGTGTGTGTGAAATATTGATTTTTTTTATATTTCAAATGAAATCTAATTTACAAACGAAAGGAAGTTTTCTATTGTGACTGGATAAAACAAATAGGAATATGATACTGTATTTTTTATATATTAGATTTTATCACAATTCTATTTTTAAAAAATATATATATTATTTAGAAATAAAATATTAAAGATATGTTCAATTCTTGTAAAACAAATGGTATCCTATTCATGTGCAAAGGTAAACTATACTATTGACCATTTAATTAACTGATCTTTTAATTTTATCAATCATACCATCTAATTATTTAATTATTGTCAATCAAATAATTTTCATGACATGATAGTTAATAAAATTGACATAATTATATATTTAATCTCTAATACTTATATATTTTATTATTTTGATCATAATTTTAATTTAATAAATTTAATCAAATTATACCATGTATCACAAATGGAGAGTTTTTTTAATTTACTTATTTTATTTTCCAACCAATGGCAAATTAACATCAGAGGAAGAAATAAAATAAGAAGGGGATTTGCTGAAATCGAACCTATGCCTTGGAGGTTATAACAGACAGCAACCAAAACACTAGGCTAAGATCCCTGCTACGTTATATAAATTATATATTGTATATAATCGCAGAGAAAAAGAAAGTGGTTAATGATATTAGTTTACTCTTTTTCTTAAGCTTCTTACAAATGTTTCGCTCTTTGTTTCATTTTATTTTGTGAAGGTCCAATGAAACGATGTCTTTTAAGGTTTTTTTTATATTTCATATATTTTTTATTAAAATAAACTATGTTAAAAATATATAAAATTATTAATAAAAATTTGAAATTATTACTTATGTTAAAAATTTAATTTAATGTATATATATATATATATATTTTTAAATTTATCAAACAATTTAAGTAATTTAAATAATTTTCACTTAATATATATATATATATATGAAATTATTAATAAAAATTTTAAAACTATTACTTAAGTTAAAAAGATTTAATTTGATGTTTAAAAAATTAAAACTATTACTTCTTTTCTTAGCTTTCTTTTTTTCCCTACCATTTTACAAAATTATATATTCTATATGTTGCGTTAACCAATTAGGTATATTAGTCCAGTGGTTTGTACGCTGCTGTGCTTTAACCCCCATGTCATAGGTTCAAACCCTGTTATTCCCCTTCTTATTTCATTTCTTACTCTGATGCTAATTTTCCATCTAATCCGTGATTGGTAAAAAATACTATCCATTCATATTGTGACACATGGCATAATTTGATTAAAAGGATTAAATTTATTAGATTAAATTAAAATTAAAATTAAAATAATAAAATATATAAGTATTGGGGACTAAATATAATTATATCAATTTTATTTCGTTAACTGTTAACATCAAGTGACTTGATTGATAATAATTAAATAGTTAAGTGGTCTGATTAATATAATTGAAAGATCAATGACAAAAGTAAAAGGGCTAAATAGTGAAGTCGGAAATAGCATAAGTTACGATTCCAGGATTTACGTGCGTTGAAATGCATACTAGTACGACACAAAATTTACGTACATCGGATGCATACCTTTTTCCATAATTCAGATACTTACAAACAAAGGACGATCGACATAATTTTAGAGTATCTCAGTTGATTTCTCGAGCGTCATACAAAGGTCAATCTTAATTCATCATATCTTGCTTGATTTCTATGTGAGAATTTGTTATCTTGATGGTTTTCACTTGTATTGGATACATGTAGCTTATACAGTCTCAAAACACCCAAGCCCGAACACCCAAAATAATTGAACCAAAATTTCCATAAATTCACCATGGTTATCGATATTGGGCCAGCAGTATCGATAATCATGTAAGTATCGATACCAAAATCAGATTCGATGTTTTAGAAAATACTTGGGTATCGATACTCCTATCGGGATTATCGATACTCTACCTTGGGTATTGATACTCCTATAAGTATTGATGCCAAATTTGGCTTTACTGTTTTCAAAAATACTTTTGTATCGATACTGAATCGTGAGTATCGATACTGAACCTCGAGTATCGATATTCCTATGGGGAGTATCGATACATCCCCTACAAAATGGTTTGATTTTAGCCTTTCACGAATGTATGTATTGTTCTTCTAGTACCGATACTGATAGACCAAAGTAATATGTTTTGAGCACGAAAACATACCCAAATCTCACCCATTCACTCCCCTAAGACTAGCAAATGTTTTTAGTGTCGTATTTGAGGTCTTAGAGGTCAAAAGGTACAAACTTTCAAGCTTGCAACACACAAATATGAAATTCACCATGAAAATTACTCTAGCATGCTTCCATAAACAAACATATCATGAATGTGCATATAATGATTGATCGCTTGTAAATGTATCTCCTAAGGCAAGCAAATATGTGCAAGTATACACAGTCGAATCAAGTAATAAAGGGTAAGTAAATTATCGTCTTCTCAGGGATTGATAGGGATTTTGAGGTTTCACCACAATTAGAACTAGGTGTCACGAGCTAGTTCCTGAATTATTGTCAAAATAGAAAAAAACTAGCAATAGATTATGCGAACAAGTGTCAAAGCAATAAAATATTATAAAGTATGGTTGTAGAAAAGTTTGGTCGAAGCAAAGTAAATATGAAAAGTAACAATTTAAAACAGACAAGAAAAAGAAAAGCGTTGATTCAAATATATTCAAAATAACCTCACATATTCAAACTTTTCACAGAGCACTCAGGTTAGTCTTTTTCTATGACAAGAAATTATTCTAAGCCTGGAAGGATTTTTTGTGATATGCTTAGGCTTCCCGACAGGATTACTAGTATTCATAGACGGTTGTTATGGCATACAACTCATTGTTAACTACAACCCTTGGTTTGTCAGAGTGTTGTTGTAGCAATACCCCTCAACGTAAACTATAATTGTTGTCCATCCTCCTCAAGCATCTAACCCTTTTAGTCGATTGAAACCCTCTCCTTATCTCTAAGGTAGGCAGGTTAGAACTGTAATACTCCAAAAATTTAGACGATGACCAAAATCGAAATTTGGAAAGTTTGATGGTCAAAATACAAAATTGGGAAAAAGTTTAGGGAATTAAGTGGTGATTTTCCCAAAAAGAATTTTATTTCATAAATGGATTTATTTAGTGTCCAAATTATAAATTTGGTAAAGTTTGGTGACCAAAGTATAAACTTTAAAAAGTTTAGGGACTAAAATGTAATTTTGGAAAAAAAATTACAAATAGGTCATGAAAATAAGGAAATAAAAATATTATTTTCACATTTTTGGAAATGTTGGAAAATAATATTTAATGGTTTAATTCCATGTTTAACTTGAATTGTTTGATTAAAGTGACTGAATTATAATTTTTGGAAATTGCAAGGGCAAAATGGTAAAGTGGAAAACTAATTTGTTCATCTTTGACAATTAAAAGATGATAAGGCTGATATATATCTGATTTTGAAGTTGATAAGGATATGTATCTTGGTTTTATGGTAATAATGAAGTTATATTAAGGATATATTGGTATTTTCTCAAGTTAATGATTTAAATATCATTTTAAAAGATGATAAGCATGATATGAATCTAAAATATCATGCTAAATGTTCATCTTCTCCAGCATCTTCACGTGAAAAAGCTTGAAGGTAAGAAAATATTTTATTTTCAATTTTTAAGCTAATTCCTTTGGGATTCGGGTTATGTCATGAAATAGGAAAACGATCTACGCGAAAAACACTATCATTTGGCACCAATATTGCTTTCGAATTTTGTTGGATTTCAAAGATCCCAAATCTAAGGGTTTGTGTTCATATAAGGGATCATGAAATTGATGATTAATCTTGATGTTTTTGAGGTTGTAGATTCATTTTCAAGCTTGATTTATGATTAGAACATGTTTAATCTTTCTACAACTTGTTCTTTAAATTTCGGCCATGAATGGTTTGAGTGGTAAAAATTTTGATTTATGATTAGAACATGTTTAATCTTTCTACAACTTGTTCTTTAAATTTCGGCCATGAATGGTTAAGTGATAAAAATTATGGAAAAATTATATATGGGTTGGAAATGATGAAGGAAGTATTTTACAAGCCTTAGAAAAATTGGGGACCATTTTGTAAGTTTTAAAAAGTTGGGGATCAATTCATAAATTTCAAAAAATTGATGGGTTGTTGTG